AAAGCTAAACAAAAAAAGTTGTTATTACCACAACATTGCCCCGTCATTGCGTCACACGCCTTTTGAACTATACAATCAGCGCTACATGTCTCTTGGCAGTTGTATCCATAGAATCCATTCGGGCATACTAGAAAAATAGAATTCTGAACATGAATTAATCTGATTGCTAAATTTGTCAGACCCCCCCCCCCCCCCCCGAAAATCTAATTGACATCCCCTATTCTTTTCTAGCTTGAAATAACTACACTTGCATGCCATTGAACTATTAAGGATATTTTACATAATGATATTAATGATAAGATTATAAATGCTTCGTGTATCTATCTTTCATTTTATTATTATTATGTAACCATCAGTACATTATTTACCTTGTGTACAATAGATTCCTTGATAACCTTTGTCGCACTTATTCAAGCATATCCCGTTTACATGATGACATTCTTCTTTATCAAGACAAACCCCACATGTCTTATTACAATTTAAACCAAAAGTTCCACCGTCACATTCTGTAACCAACACCATAAAATGATATGCCACTTTTAAAGATTTTTTTACATAAAATACACAACGTCCATATACAAATACATGCATTGTACAGGTCGTGAGCAAATATAGCACAGGAAAATATTATACTTACGATAATAAAAAAATAGGAATTTATTTTTTTTTCATATTCAGCATCAGCATCAGGGAAATAAGCATCAGAATCCATCAAGCATCAGGAATAGAAATTTTAAAAGCATGATTATTAGGGTCAGCATCAGAAAGCAAGAATAAAGATGTAGCATAGCTAGCACATAACTTCTTAAAAGAAGTAAAAAATAGAACAAAAAATAAAGTAAACTGTTTCAATAATTTAGAATTTGATTAGGCGTCTCCATATGAGTAAAAAAATTCAAGAGGGAAGTTATACAACAATCAATCAATCAATCAAAAGGTGAATATAAATGTGAATCGTATATGAGACAAATTTTGGTGCACTAGATGCCCATTTCGACAAATTATGTCTTCATTGATGCTCATGCCAAAACGTTGGAGATCTGAAATATCTGATAGTTTTATCTAGCCTTTGAAGAGCTGATAAAAAGGGATACCACTGATAGCAATTATGAAAGCAAAGGATTGTATGTTCTGACACATCCCTTTCCAGAATTTTTTACCCATATTTAGACATCAACATATACAGGTGAAGAGCTTCAAATCAAACCATTACTCAGCTTTCAGGGCAATCGAGCAGTATAGATTTAAAGCTAAAGATTAATATGCCAACACGTACTTTGAAACGGGACCTTGACTTTTAAAGTCTCATCCGAAGGACAAGCATCTTTCATTTCAAAGTGGTGAAGGAACAGACGCTAGCTTTTTAGGACAGTCATGAAAGTTAATCGTTATATCATTCGGATACGGAGCGAGCGTTCTAAGGATTTAGCAAGCAAAGGAAAAATTCAAATCATCAAGCAAAAGATTTTTTAAAGTTCAGCATGGATGGTGTAACAAAATTACTTCCATGAACTATAATCACAACAGAAGGTCGAGTATTCAAATCAGTGAAAGACTTGAAGACGTAATTCTCAAATTCGTAGACTTAAGCAACATACACACAATCATTTATTCAACCAATCATAATGATAATAAAAAGAAATAAAAAAGAACTTTATTTAAAACATTCTACAAGTATTATCTTTGCATGTGTACCATACTTTTTTGACTAGAAAAAGCATTTGATAATAAGTGCATCACAATTCCCATTGATACATTTATATGAACAATGAAATATTATGATATATCGAAACGTTCACATTTTCCTCTCAAAAGACAATCAAAACTTAAAACATTTTGTATTTTAATTAAGCTTACTCTTGTCACATTTTGTGTCTTTCCATCCCGCCTGACATCCTCCTTGACACTGTCCTGTAACTCTGTTACATCTACCAAGGACTCCACAGTTGATGCTACACGTGTCCTGACAGTCGAAGCCATAACGTTCTTCTGGACATGCTAGGTGGATTTAAAAACAGAAATTGAAATAATTTCCCGTTTAACTTCTGACATTAAATATTTTCATTATGGTTGTTTTCTCTGTATGTTTGTACATAAGTTGCAGCAAAATATTAAAGAAAATAAAAATCATTTAACCCAACACAACCATCCCACCCCCCCAAAAAAAAATTATTTCACAGCAATTTCCGTAAAAATTATCAAATAATTAAAAAATAGCTAAAAAAGTTATTTGTTTCCAAATTCCAAACAACTCTTCGAAGCTTAGATTTCTTTTAATAAACCGGAATTTGCTATATAAAGAGTGTTAGAATTATATCTGTAAATGTTACACCGCGTCTTGTAATCCCATCTGATTAAACGCTTTTTCTCACCTTCATTACATTTTTCTCCTTGAAATCCTCTGTCACATCCATGTAAACATGTCCCATTGATGTGATGACATTGTTCAAAACTAAGACACGATCCACAAGAGATATTGCAGTCTTTACCGTAACGCCATCCATCACATTCTGTAAAATCCAATATTACTTCCTATTGCCTATTCTCTAGCATATGAAACAGGAACAAATTAAAACTATGTAAACGCTTTAAAAAGCATATTAAGAATAGATATGTCAGATGTTATTGTTGTAATGCATCCACCATTAACAGCATACTATTATTACATATACTTCTTCAAATTATAAATACCTGTACTTTTGAATAATCGAATAAAAAATCTATTTTCAAAGTCCTTGTTGTTATTTTCCAGAGTTCATTCTATATTTATTCTACCACCTAAAACTAACTCCAATAGACTCTTATTGTAAAATTTTGGTTATTCAACCATATAATAAAAAAGAGCAAAAACCCAAAGGACTGGGAAAAAATTACCATTTTCACAGAAGGCTCCCTTCCATCCAGGATGACAACCAGACTCGCAGACTCCAGTAAATCTGTTACAGCCTCCTCTACAGTTTGGGTTACAGAACGCATAACAATTCTTTCCATGTCTTCCGAAATGACAAGCTGTCAGATAATTCATGAGGGAAATGTTGTGAATGTAATGTAAAAACAATATATATGCATAAGTATGAATACATTATTCACATAGACTTTATATTTTATCAGCGTGATTACATTTATGAACATTGTTGCCATAAATAAGAAAAGTCGTTAAATGTGACAGTTTCTATAATTCATCAATTGCATGAAAAAATTGCACAATATTTTTTTTAATGACAAACTGTAATTTTGTTGTTTACAATGTCTTTTTTTCTATTAAAGACGTGTCATCATTAGGTAAAAACTCTTCAAAAATTTGACAATTCGTTTAAAAGTTTGCTGTTCTACGAGGGTTGTCCCAAAATTCCGTAGAGAAGTTTTGTTTTGTAGTAACACGGTGTCATATATAAATGAAACTTTAGTTCGTACATAGATTAAAACAGCACTATCTAATATTTTTATGAACAAATAAGGAGTATATACATATATCAATATTATGCACTTCTTTGCCTTGAGTAGGAAGGTGGTGAAGTACCTGAGAATTATTTTTAAAATCCTACGATAAAGTTACTACTTCTTTGCGTTATTGAATGTGAATTAAGTTTTTTTTTAAATGTTTTAAAAACGATATTTCCTCAATTTTTGGTTTTTATTCATTAACAGATATGAATTTCACAAGGTTTTACAAAACAAATATATATATATACTCCGGGTTGAAATCCGACTTTCTGAAAAAAAATTTGCAGCGGCGGTGGCACAGGCGGCGCACTGGACAATTATCAACTATGATCAAGTTATACTGAATTTCACTCTTACGGAAATGTACAAGTCAGAAATGATTAGAAGACAAGGATATGTTTCTGGACCTTATTTTTTAGAATGACTGAAATGGTTTCTCTAGTTATTGGAATTACGGAAACAAAAAAGCCCACATACATTACAATCGGACAAGAGTGTTGCAGTGCAACTCCATTAGAGAAGACAGACGAAAGCCAGTTAAAGTATTTGGTTTTCTAATAATTTTATTATTATTATTATTATGATGATGATGCACATGCATATACTTTGTTTGCATATTTTTATGTTTGATCATATCATAGTAATTCAAATATTTTACTTTCATAGCAATAATCGTTTTGTTTAACAAAGAATTTTATTTTGGTAATTTTTATATTTTCTCCAAAAGTTTAAACCATTCACATTTGTTTTTTTTTTTTTTTTTTTTTTTTTTTTTGACCTTGAAGATTGTCCCGAGCGTTAGAGAATGATATCACTCCAGATCTTCGAACTCGAATCTTTTTCAAGTAAACATGATAAAATTTCGTAATTTAAGGTAGGATTCTTCTATGGTTTATGACAAGATGAAACATTCAAATAATATTTGTTTATATGTCTTATATATTTAGGTGAATGGGATTTGAAAGACCGTATTTTTCTTTCCTCATTACAATTGTACAACTTTTAATAGACATGGTAAACTGCGTTTTAAAACTAGCAGGGACTATAATATTGGCGGCATGGTGGCGTATGAAAATATCTTCTTTTTTGCCTCTCAAAATTATTATAGAACAATGAATTTAATGTTAATTTTTACACACTCAAAGAAATTTTCAAGTGGAAGTTGAATTAATAATAAGGGACTATCTTTCAAACTATATCAAATAAATATGATTTTCCAAACAAACTAGAACTATGTTAGCTTTTTAGCTCACCTGAGCCAAAGGCCGACCCACGTTTTACATAGGAATATATAAGAAAAATCTTCTTCTCAAGAACCACTGGGCCAGGAAAGATGAAACTCATGTGGAATCATCCTGAGGTAGTGTAAATTCAAGTTTGTTCAAATCATGAGCCCCGGGGCTAGGGCGGGGCTAAAATGGCCGACCCAAGTTTTACATAGGAATATATAAGAAAAATCTTTAAAAATCTTCTTCTCAAGAACCACTGGGTTAGGAAAGATGAAACTCGTATGGAATCATCCTGAGATAGTGTAGATTCAAGTTTGTTCAAATCATGACCCCTGGGGCTAGGGCGGGGCCAAAATGGCCGACCCAAGTTTTACATAGGGATATATTGTGAAACCAATATATTTAAAATCCTCTTTTCAAGTACACTGTACTTCAAAGCCATGATTAGTGATATTTATATGGAATCGTCCTAAGGTAGTGTAGATTCTAGTTCAAATCATGAACCCCTGGGGGGTTAAAATTCAAGCCCCCCCCCCTTTCCCCCCACCATCGATCACCTCAGTAAACTTTCAGTTCTGATCTGATATGTGCTTTTTCCTAGCTGATGTGCTCAGGTGAGCGCTGTGGCCCCTGGGCCTCTTGTTAACGCTTCCAATCAAAGTACAGATTTGAGCTAAAAATCCATCAAAGTATTTTTTCTCTCTTAGCAAACGATCAAAACTGTTTGTTTTTGTATCATTTTTTTTACATTTCTAAGACTACTTTTTTATATGTGAAAATAGGAAAAAGTTAAATATAGGAAACATATGAAAATTACTAATATATTCTAAAAAAAAAAAAAGAAGAAAAACATTAAAAATTCGAGTTAGCCAATTTCCCGTTTAGATAAATTATTTAAGTAAATTTGGTAATATCATGCTATAGACCCATACTTGCCAACTCACCCGATTTTGTCGGGTCACACCCGATTTTTCAACCCGGAACCCGATTATTTTTTATGACCCAGCGGGTCATGCTTATCACCCGATTTTTGCCGATCAACCCGAAAATCTCCCGATTTTCCGGATTTGGTTCTATAATAGACCCGATATTGTTATATCTTTTAATGCAAAAAAAAACAATCTTTGAATTTTTGAAATTGAATTAGGCATCACATGATTGGCAACAGTTTTTTTTTATTCATAACGTTAAGAAAAAAAGATAATGACCTTGACCTGACATTGCCTGTAATATAGAACGGGCAAATTTAATCTTACTGATACTATCACTTACTGATATTGTCCTCTTGATTTTGTGAAAATTTCATTAATTTTTAGATACAAGAAATATGAGAAGAATCCTAACTTAAGTGAAAAGAATACGCTTTATCCTCTAATAAAAAAAATATAAATCTAAATTAATTTCTTTTAAAGATATGAGCTCAGTTTACAAAATTTTAGGTCAATCCTCGTATTGTGATGATTGTGGATATCCGTCTGGGCAGATGAAGCACATTACTAGTGATGAATCTTTTAAATAGCTCATAATTGTTTTTTAAGACGTTAAGGTAAATAGAAATACTTCTGCGGAAAATGGAAAAACTCGGTCATAAAAAAAATCCATTTGACTCGCCTTCGACACATGTATCTCCTTGGACTCCGACGTCACATCCGTTAGGACAACTTCCGTTTACGTGATTACACAGATCTCCATTGCTACAGTTACCACAGTAGAGGCTACAATCAAGGCCATATTTATCATTTTCACATCCTGAAATTTGTAAAATAGTTTGAATTGTTAATTTTAATTTACGATATCATCAAATATGACGAATACGAGAATATGAGAAACACTACTTTTTCTTCAAAATGATTATCGGAGAGATTAAACAAGTAACAAAAAAATAGAAATCAAAAGGCGACAGCAAAAAATGCAAAACAATGGATTTTTATATTCGAATACTTTCAAATGGGATAATCCTTTGTTAAGAAAAATAAATTTGCAGGTATATTAATTATCACACTTTGTACAGAGTTCTAAATTTAAGTTGCGATGAAATATATCATTAGTTTCCAAACATATTCTGCTCAGTTTCACTACTAGTCAAATTTCTTAATATTGTTTTTTTTCTCATTAACAGATTTTGCTTTCCAACACGCTAATAAACAAATAAGTTTCGTTATTAAAAGAAGTGTACTTTCGAATGAGTTTCTCATGCATGTTAATTTAATTAAACATTGAATTCATATTTTTGGATGTCCTATAACACACAGGGCCATGTAGACAAATTGACAAATATGACGTCAAATGACGCTAAATGACGGTGCAAAGTTAAATAACGCAAACAAACACTGCGAGGAAAAAAAAAGACAAATTACTTCTTAACCCACATTACGTTCACTTTTCAGGGTTATAGTTCTTCATTAAATTGAAAAAAAACATTTTACATTTTTGTGTTCCTAGAGTATTGAAAATGCATATAGATTCTACTGTGTATTCCAACGCGCGGTTACAAGGTTTTGCGTGTGTTATAGAAATTTGATCGTCGTGGATTTCTAATGAATTTCAAAAGGAAAATTACACTGAATGTAAATATATATATATATATATATATATATATATATATATATATATATATATATATATATATATATATATATATATATATATATATATATATATATATATATATATATATATATTTTCAAAGAATGACGCGCGGAGAAAGAGAGTGCTAAAGATAGATACCAAGTAATTCGAAGGATCAAATTGCATGAGGACGATACATGTAAGCCTTCATTTTAAAATAAATTTAAATTTTACCACCGCTATTCAATATACCATAGTATATCCGTATTTTCAAGCAAGTACCGAAGTATTTTAATTAGCTAGTGGGCTGTAGAGACCTTCGAGGACTAAGAGTCCATCAGCACAGGCCTCCACCCTGGATTTACATCTTATACAGTATCAATTTTAATTCACCAGGTGTACATTTCTCCAAATTATGTCTCCTCATTGATAAGAAGAGTTGGAAGTCCGAAATACGCACTTAAAAAAAATTGATGACCTGGAAAAGGGGTGCCAAAAACTGGTGCCAAAGAAGTCGAAGAATCAAATCTCTACTTGAGGGTTTCAATTTTGTTGCATTACATTCACATTTCGCAAATTATGTCTCTTAATTGATGGTCAGGCATATACGTTTGAAGTCAAAAATATTCAATAAAAAAAAGAAGAGCTGAAAAGGTGCCAAAGACTGGTGCCACATAACCTTTCGAAATTATGCCGCAGCATTTTAATATTTTTCCTTATTTCCATAAGGTGCGCTGTGGAAACATCGACTAAATTTTGTATTTAAATATGTATCCGTTATGGGGATAGCGATTATTTTTAGTACATTATTTATATCGGATAATTGTAATTATGATTGATAACTACATATCGAGGACGATTATTTTTTTATATTTAGACTAGTCACGTGATGCGGCAGTAACATAATTTTAGCACATTGAATTGCAGTACTGATGTTACATATATAAATGTCACTAGTGCAAGGGCATAACCAAGTAAAATTTCAAAGTTTAGTACATAAATATTTTCAACATGCATTGTAGTTTCTAAAAAGTGCTGCGATCCTGTCTAAATTCTGCAATATTTGTATGACCGAATTCTATATTTTTTGCTGGTTAGCGGCATGAAATATTGATATAATTAAATTATTTTTAAGATTTCATCAGAATCGAAGCACTTTTCAGATACTTTAATAGTTTTAGAGTTGAATCGTAAAAGCTTACTTTGATCCATGGAGTGTATGCCCTTGCACTAGATCGATTTATCAAGACCCCCCACATTACCCTCCGATGTACTTGCGTACAAATATACGACGTAATGCGCAGAAAATAAATTAATAAAATAGTAAAGAAGACATTAAATTCAAGTTATTGGCCCATAGAATATCTGTAAATAATAATTTATTTAATTAGAGAATACATATTTTGTTGAGAAAATATTATTTGATCGGTCTTTCACTGCATACAAACTACGTCATCTTTTAAGAAATGACGTCATATTGACAAGTATATTGCGATCAGTGACTTGTTTATAACTTGTTATGTGGGATTTAACTAACGACAGAACAGAACGCTGTAGTAAGTTTTTTGTAGTGTGATGACTTCTTACTGGTTAAATTAGCAAATCAACTCATTTTCTGGTGTTATATAGAAATGTTATATGACGTATATTTTGTATGATGTCATAATCAAGTTTTCCCGTACAAAATAGCCCCCGCTTCCTTTTTGTAACCTTAACTGTGCTGCGTTTTATTTTCATCCTCACATATTTTGTATAAAAAAGGATGATATCTAATTAAAAAAAAAACACAGCTTTCAAATTTGCCTCTCAGAAAATCCCAGAAAGAAAATAAGGTGTCACAAAAAATACTGATTTACCGTTAAATGCATCAGAATATTGGTCTATTACGAAACACGTACATATCACTCCCATAATCTATATTGATTTACTTAACACTGCTTTATTGATTGATAACTCATCAAAATTGTCTTGCATATGGAGGGAAAATCCCATCTATAGAAATTGTGCCATAGACAGTGTTGGATGGCTAGACTGTCACGCGATAAATTTTACTTTATAATTGATAGACCTTCAGTGGTATACGAGGGGTGATCAAAAAGTTCGCGAACTATCTCTATATCTACAAAACCACAATTCAGATTAGAATGAAATTCGGTACACACATAGCAATACACAAGGTCGATAAACAACATATACTGAATAGAGTTTTTCTCTTTGCTTGTGATGTCATAATGTGAAAATGACATCACTTTGTAGGTCACTTGTGACGAAAAATGATTGTGTCAGTCGAACTCGTTCAACAAACGACTGTACAATTTATTGTATATCTTAGAAATTCCTGTGCAGTATCGTATAATAATTTGTACACAATTTATTAAGATAAATGATTTCCTATAAATTCAGTTAATGATTAGATTGATCGTGTTAATGAAGGAAGGCAGATGGTTAAAATGATACTTTTCACCCTGTGAAAGCAAGTTTGAAAAGATATGTGTTTTTAATTAAGCAATTTGCTATCAAAGACCTCCAATTTACACTTTGAAAAATAGTTGAATATTTGAACAATAATATAATTATAAAAGAATATCGTTTACTTTAGATTTTAAACATATCAGATATGATAAAAAGGAGGCACCCATTCTCTATCCACCTTAAATAAAGGTCTTTCTTGAAACAGAAGATTTGTGTTTTAATGGTCGCCATGCTTTTTTTTTTTTTGGAAAGGATATTCTTCTCCATCCATTCTGGTGCCAAAATTTGACCATATCTGACAAATGAACTGTTCTTGTCATAAAAATCAACTCACATGGAAAGAAATATAAAACTATAAAAAAAATTCTTTCAACTTTTGTGACAGAACGCTACGGAGGGGGTCACGTGACCGATAGTATCACATGATTCGCGCATGCGCCGAACGGTGGTTGATGTTCATTAAAATTGGAGAGCATTAATTAAAAATATATGTTTTATTGAAGTTATTTAATTAGTTCGCGAACTTTTTGATCACCCCTCGTACAGCCGAAAATGGCAGATTACAACAGGTTCTGACTTCTGACATTCTATCTTAATGTTTCATCAAAGTCAATATAACTGACATAAGTTATAGCGTGTATACTGTTACTAATTTAACTTTAATGCATCATTAACGCAAACATATTAAAAAAAAACAATCTTAATTATTAATCTGGGCATTTGTTTTGTTTGTACCATTTTCTTTCAAGAAGAGGAGATATCTCAAATATTGAAAACATTAAAATATGCTCTCTCTCTCTCTCTCTCTCTCTCTCTCTCTCTCTCTCCCTCCCTCTCCAAAGCAAAATTATGTGTATACGTACGTTCTTCACACTGTAGACCTTTGAAATCAGTTATGCATCCCAGACAGTATCCATTCACAATGTTACAACGACCCTCCTGACAATTTTGTGGACACGGTAAATCACAACTGTGTCCATAAATCCCTGAGGTTGTGCATCCTGATAGAGCATCAGTTGATAATAATAGTAAATTCTATAGACCTTTTCGGCTTTATTGGAGAGCAGGCTTTGATCAAATTCATTAAAACTTTTTCTATTCTTTTTTTTTGGCATGTGTGTATACTATATTTCTTACGATGTATATCATCATATCTATAAATCGGATCTCTGCATGAATACTACAAGATGGCTGTCATTTAAATATAATTAGGATTTTTTTAATTTATGAAATATGAGGTTTTTTAACAATATTACTTTAAGTTGACTGATCTCTTGTTTTTAATTTGTGTATACATGCATTTCGAAAACATACATCCTTACATGTAAGCATTGATGAAAATTTTCAGATAATTTCATTCAAATAAATAAGTTTTGATAATTTCTCCCCATAAAATATGGGATTTTGTAATTATATCTAATTACAAAATTTGATAAGAAAAAGCAAGTGATATACTAGACGAAAACCAATACAGTGGTCCTTTCTTCTTTCTGTATCATTCATGCTTTTTTTTGTGATTTTCATTTAACCTGATATCTGGCCAAAGGCCATAAATTGAGAATAGACTTCAAAATTTTAAATCAATAAAACTTTTGAAATCACTTAGAAAACATAACAAAATACCTATATACCATTTGTGTAAATTGAAATATTTACAAACCTGCGAATTTCTGATTACGTATGTGTTATAAATGGCAAGCTATTTAAAATCAATATTTTGACTTAAAGGCCTGAATTCCCATTGTGTAAGAAATGTTTCATGGGTCTTCTTACCATATACTTCAACTTCACATAGATCATTGTACGCGTACTCAGAATATCCATCAGGGTAGGTAACTCCAGGGAGTCTCTCATTGTAGTAGAAGATATATCGTCCATGTTTAACACATTCTATTGTAATGGTATCTGGAATTGTGCCTCTGGTGTAGTTTGTGTCTTTAAAACATAGAATGCCATCATCTTTATTAGTTGTGTTCGATATGTAAAGAGAAAATCCCAGGAATCGAGAAGAGTGTCCAGTCTCTAAAGAAATACTCAAGTTGACTTTAACTAAATATGGTTATTTATAGTGATGACTTTGCCACTATAAAGATTAATTAGCTCAGGATTCGGCCTAGGGTTAGGGTTTTGATTTGCAAAAGTGATAACTAGGAAAATTTTTTTTTTACTTTGTTGATAACTTTGACAATACAAAAACGTTGACCTATGGTGATCAATGTAAAAACTTCCACTTATTAGAACGCCCTATCATGTATGCTTTATGCCCTCTATAAGAGATGGTATATCTTGCACGGTATTCTAAAAAAACATAAAGTGAAGTTTTTGGCTATTATAATAAGGCATTATGATAAGGCAAAGTAAAATAACAAACAATATTCATTCTAAAAGCCTTACCCGTAGATGTCTTTGATTTTTTTTTTGTCAAAAAGTATACAACTAAATTGAAATAAGGAATTTGAAATACATGGAAAATGCATGGAAATGCATCGATGATAGATATTCTTCGTAAGTGACCAATATCGATGTTTCGCACATTTAGATACATTGTGTCTGTCTATCATTTCTCATCGTTTTATTCGCTATTTCAAACAATAATGCATGGTCTTTAGTATGTTTTGAAATAGTTTAGCAAGAACACAGCGAATGAGTTCTGTGAATGCATGTTGCAAGCGAATTTTCCGGACGTAATTACAGATTTAATTCCGAATTACCTCTGTTTTTTGACGCTAATTTTTTGAGCTCGCTTCGCAACCAAGTATTTCGCGCTGTTTAAAGTTAAATAAATATTTTGAATTATACATTTATTAATCTAAAACAATTTAAAAAAATATAAATGTACTAAGAGCAGCAGAACGATACAATTTCTTTTGTACAATCATTCAGATATATATAGTTCTTTATGTGCCGCAGAGTTGTCGAAGCTTTTTTTATGTGCGGGTTTCAGACACTGCAATCATAATAGAAGGAATAACTTTCATAGTCAAATTAAAACATATGCGATGATTGTAAGTTTAAATATGATTAGCAAACAATATGATCATATGAGTAATAAACAGAATAAAAAAAACTATTTAATTTAGTTGTTTATACATTACCCCACGCTACATCATCCGTCCTATAGTAAATGATTATATGATGTATACTGAATATTCCTCCAAGATCCACCCGCCAGATGGCATTGAATTGATTATTTTCAGATATCGTACATTGTCCTCCTGCATATGTCCGGTTTGAATACCGCCCATCCACTGCTTTATCCGCTCCCCACGAATGACCATGATAAGGATATAACTGCCAGGCAGGCTTGTTTAATGCTATGTTTTCTGGAAGTAAAATTGAAAGTTGACTGTCCACGCAGCTCATTTAACAAACCACATTTTTTAAATAAAAGAATGGGTATCTGAATTCTGCTCAACAATTGTGTTTGTACATTAATATGATAGAGTACTTAATAAAAACCCTTCTAAAACATTCTAACATAGAATTCGAAGTTTTAATGATCTTAGAAATATAAAAATGTTAAATAAATATTGATCGGCGAGGAACCCTCCTGTGTTGTACAGGGAACTTAGATACTTATGAAGCTTATCATTTCGCCACATTATACATGTATACCTTATTAATGAGAGTTATGCGCTTTTTTCTTTGTGAAATGTTTTTAAAAACATCTTTTTAAAATAAAATAAATTAAAAAATCAAAAAGTACAATTTGTCCTCAATCTTTAACTTAGTGTTTTCGTCAGGTCTTGTAATAATAAAACAAGTCATTCTGAGGTCAATTTTCCGTAAGACTGTTGAACATTAGTAAAATCTTTTTGGTGACTGTTTACAGAAAATGTTACCTTTACTGACACTCAGATACATAAATTAAATGTATTAATTTTTTCGCTTTCGAGAAAGGGAGAGATTGTGTTATGTAATGCTAGAGAGAGAGAGAGAGAGAGAGAGAGAGATATTAATTCATTTTTAGATCAATCTTACCATAGGCAGAATTTTTTTTCACGGTTAATAGTATTCCACCAAGACTATAAAGCAATCCAATTTCAATGTTCATTTTGTTCGATGCTCGAAATGATTTTAATCTAGGAAGTAAATTATAACAATAATCGATTTAAAATGTCTGAATTAGGTCATGTTTGCATATCTATAGATTTGAAAGGTGTCCTAGGGTTTTAAATAAATTGAGCTATAAGTGTGTTATTAGTTTTACAGGCCAGGAAAAAAATATCATGCTATGGTCTGAAATATAAATTACGAGCATTAGATAGAAACGCAGCACTGTTAAGGCTTGCTATGAGAAATCAACGGAAAATAGAAATGCAAAACGGGTATTGCTTTTAAATGTAACCAGTGTACGTAATTAAATCTTTCAGTTTCAATGTTTTAATAATTTCTATTATGTGTGTTTACGTTTGTTTTGTCTTGTGTGAATGTCCACATGTGAGTGTTTATGTTTGTTTGGTGACGTATTTGACCGTTTCCGGTTTGACCAGTTTCTATTAATAACTTTTTATTAACTTTCCCGCGGCTAATAGTTTTCATGCACACTCGGCGCTACACCCTTGACGGGAATAGTCATCCTATACATTAGTAGCTGATTTATATAGTGTGCCTGGTAAATATATATTTATAACTTATCTATATCTTATTATATTTGTAATTTAAAAGTAAAGTCAGTTAGGATTTGTAAATGTTTATTAATTATAATGACTTTATTTCAGGTTTTTCTTATATTATTACCATCAATTAATATACTGGTCAAACTACCATTGACTTGATTGTGTCTTGATGTAATAATGAACCCAAGTATTACCGACATGGTCTACAAATGGCGCCCAACGAAAATAACCCACTGTTCCCTTGGAATATGCTTCACGCATTTCCTTAACTCATATATAGAATTCGAGGACGAATTTCTACAAAGAGGGGGGATATGTCACCGGGTTCACATGTGCGTGAAAGTCAGTCAATTTTCGGGTCTCAATAGCTCAGTGGTTTGAGCGCTGGTACGCCAGAGGCCCTGGGTTCGAGTCCCGGTTGAGACTTTTTTCACTGGTGGTGAAAAGTCAAGTCTCAACCGGGACTCGAACCCAGGGCGTCTGGCGTACCGTGCCAGCGCTCTAACCACTGAGCTATTGAGACCCGATATATTGACTGACTTTCACGCATCTGTGAACCCGGTGACATAAAACTGAATTAATTTTTATTCATCTGTTTTATTATCACAGAACTTAAATACTTATGGAAATAGCATAGTATAACCTACTCGGTACTGTATGAAGTTTGGTCCCATCTATGCACAGTCATGTGAGGAATGCATGAATGTATGTCATTAATAAATTTCAATATCGCAAGGGCATACCCTATTTGAAACTAAAAATTCAAGCTATTAATTGTTTCTGAATACTTTGTACTTTCTGAAAAGTGCTGCTGCTTTGAATAAAATTCGCGTTTTACTAGTTAAACTTTCAAGTAAATAGGCCCATGTCGAAATATGTTTAACTTTTACCAAATATTCTGTGTACGACGAAAGCCCAGAAGGCTCATTCGAGATTCAAGTCTCGAAATACGAGATTCGAAATTCGAGATTCGAAATTCAATTTTCGAGATTCAAGATCCAGATTAATCAATCAAAAGCTCCCAAAAGGCTCATTCGAGATTCAAGGTTCGAAATACGAGATTCGAAGTTCGACTTTCGAGATTCAAGATTCAAGATCCAGATTAACCAATCAAAAGCGGGTTCAAGATTTGATTACTCCCCTTTATTATTATTTTACTATCAAGAAATCGTTTAGTATATAAATAACAAATGTCATTTTATAAAATTACAATGCAAGAAAAAGTGTTATTTATATCAGAAGGAAATTTAAATAATCATTGGATTTTTGATGAGCAAGATATACTTCAATTTATATTATGGTTTCTTAAATATTAAATAGAATACATTTATCAGGAATATATATATTTTTGTATTGTTTTCTTGTTTACGGGGTTGATGACATATAAATAAAGTTATGAATACGTGGCAAGTGTCTAAAGGTTAACAATAACCCCACTCCTACCCACCCCGCCTGCCCATATTTCCAAACACACTGAAAGGCCTGGAACTTGAAAGACGACGTAGTATTGATAAAACAAAAATCGCGTTCGTTTTCCTTATAGAGGAAATACATAAACATTAAGTATTTAATTACTTATTTTAATCTAAGGCTTTGATTTCTTGAATTAATTAAATATTATATCTACAATACAGCTTGGCGATATGAATTAAAATAAATGTGGCATTTATTTTATCTAATATAAAAAAGTAGATGAGTCTAAATTAGATGCAGAACTATATAGGGTTATGGTGTTATATTTTAGTCTCTAACCATAGCTTAATTTATGGCCAAAGACTATAATATACTCATAAAACCTTATATAACGCTACAGTTCGATTCAGCAGTCAAGCCTCACTGCACAAATGTACCCTTTATTAATGCAATGAAATATATACCCTTAAATTATTGTGCAGTGTAGATACGATTCATAATATTTCATATCTAATTATAATTAAATGCAACATTCGCCATCAGCAATGATCTGATGAAATAAAATTAGTTGACCTACTTGTTCAGCAAGTCAACGTTAAGACCATATAATAGTCTATATATATGTATTTACTATTTTGTTTAATTAGAAAAATAAGATTATATATGTATTTTGCAAAACGTAATCAAAATTTTATTTTTATTTCGTTTTGATACATAAAACATTTTTTCTTGCATTATCATTTTAGCAAATGATCCATTTGTTATAAATATATTCAACGATTTCTTGATAGTAAAAACGTAACAAAGGGAAGTAACCAAAAGTTGAACCCGCTTTTGATTGGTTAGTTTGGATCTTGAATTTCCAAACTCGAATTTCGAATCTCGAATTTTGAATCTCGTATTTCGAAACTTGAATCTCGAATGAGCCTTCTGGGCTTTCATAGTGTACTTATAAAGTCACCCTCTCGATTCAAAGAAAGCAGCAGTACTTTTCAAGTTAAGGAAAATATCCTTTATTTATATTCCAAAAAATGGTTAAGATTTATTTAGTGTATGCCGTTGCAAAAGAACGGTTTAATGAGGCACCTCGATATAAAATATACCTATCCTGAACATAAAAACACGACAAAATTATTTAAATACATTCTCTCGATAGTTAATGAATAATCGCACTGAACAAAGGATATACATTGGTATAAAAAGCATATTTAACACCTGTAAATAACATTCTATTTTATAATAAAAAGCATTTTTCATTGTTAAAAAATTCCTCAATCTACCTCTTACAGAACATGAAATACGTCATTTTTACCAAAATGACGTCATGACTGACAAGTTCATCGAGATCAGTGATCTGTTTTTAACCAGCTGTATGGGATTTAACTAGCAACTTTTTAAAATGCATTGATAAGTTCTATTGTTGTTTATTATGCTAATGTAGTTTAAACTTGCACATTATTTCATTTTCTGGTATTATGAGGAATACATAAAAGTCACATTTTAGTGTGACGTCACAGTAAACCTTTCTCGTAAAAATTAGGCCCTGTCTCCTTATTTCAGCCTTAACATTGCTGCAAAGATAGATGTGTTTGTGAAACACTGATGTACCATTATTACAAGTCAATCGCCAAAGGTCAAAATTAAAACGTCAAAATTTCACGTATCCAGAGGAAGGTTTTAGCAAAATCAATACAATGTGAAGTTTAAAAGCCCTTGCACCAGCTATTCAAAAGATCTGGCCAAGGTTAAACCTGGTATTTTTTGTAAAGGTTAGTCAAACTCCAGAGTCAAGGTGACAGCAATATCAAAAGAAAGGCCTTGTCACAGGACATACGCTTGTAAAATATAAATTTTATAGCCCCTTCCACTCAAAAGTTATTATCAATCTTAACGGACAAATGGAAACCCAAATAAACAGATAAACAGACAGACTAAAGGGACAAAACCTATATAACCCAGAATCTTTGAATAATGGGGCATAAAAAAATAAATGCTGAAAAAATCCATATTTTACAATTGTTTCCTGTTTATTGCCTATTTGCAAAATAAAAAAAAAATAATTATAATAACTTCAAATTTATATTGGTGAGGTAAATAAGTTATATTAATTACAATCTTACGCGGATCAGTGTAAAACTGAAGATCAGCGATTTTTTAGACCTTTAAGATAGTTGACTTGTCAGTACATGATTTGCCTTTTTAATCGACACATTGAATCATTTTTTTTAATTTAACGAATTAATTGAAGCCGTGTACCAGGACACTGAAGGTCTCTCAGCGCTGGAAAACGAAAGAATTTTAAAACTCTTCAAAGTATTTTTTATCG